TTACATTCATTAAATCACCCTGAAGTTCTCAGGGAGACAACGTCTCATTTACTTCAGCTAGCCAAAGAAAACGGACTGATTTCTGAACAAACAATCAATTTTACAACAGTGAACACAGCTGTGGAAGCAGTAACAGACTGTACAGAAAGTAAAAAATATACCATGGGATGGCCACGTCTTTAAGAGAAACCTTCAGCACTCCGCTCAGGAACGTTAATGTTACTGACAGTGTTTCTTCTGAAGCAGCGTCCAGCCCTGGCTTGCCATGCTCCCAGCATTCAGGTTCCTCATGTCCTCATGCTACACCAGTTACAGGCTCCTCATGTCCTCATGCTACACCAGTTACAGGCTCCTCATGTCCTCATGCTACACCAGTTAAATGACCAGCCAGCTGTCCTCCCTTTGCTCTCATGAGCTCTGTGTCAACTCCGACTGTGACAGCACCCTCCCCTAAGCGACTGAAGGCAGATTGCAAAAAATGTGTTAACAGGCGGACATCACTTATAAAATTAGTGTCTAGTAAACAAAAACTTAAACAGAATTTTGACAATTTGCTCTTGTCAAGTGTTGAAAATAGAAGAATTAAGGAAGCTTATAAACGAAAAGTAGACAGAGAATCAAAACTGTGCAAAGAAAGACGGGAGTTAAAGAGGATTGTGATGCAAAATGATGCTGAAATTAGAAAATTGAAGAAGTCTATTGAACTGGTCTGTCCAAAAGTGCAGAAGAAGAAACGTAAACATACGTGTAAATTTAGGAGACTGTTGGGAGAAGTCAGAAAAGAACTGAACTGTGCAAGAAAAAAATCAAAGAAGTGGAAGTGGATAATGACAAACTGCAGGGTTGTTACTGGACTGTGAATCTTCACCTGACTGTGACACCGTGTCAGTGAAGAAGGATTCTAAAACAGATTCCTCATCCTACAGACGTGCAGCGTACTCATGCATCCTCCACCAGGTGCCAGTGGAGGAGACAAGTAATCTTACAGCAGATGTTGTTGAGAACATCACAGGCTAGAAGGTTGGAGGAAAGGCTGATGTTTCAACTGATGCCCAGTTTGCATATGAACTTGGTGTGTAAGTGAAGTGCAGGTTGCAGAAGCGGTAGTGAATGAGACGTGTGTTGATCTTCCTCTTGGTTGGGAAGCAACATCCCTGTCAGCTCAGTACATCAATGAGGTTCATCTCATGTTTCCGGGTGATCCCCCTCCCTGCCCACGGGGACTTCAGTTACAGGTGAATGCATTAACAGGAGGGACTACAGATGACTTTGAGACTCATATAAAGGAAGCGCTCAGTGACATCAGTGAAACATATGCAAGTCTAACAGCTACCAGTTCTTTGGAAGGGAGCAATATTTTCATCTCAAAACTCAAAAACACCATTTCAGATCGAGTGGCTGTAAACAAATGTGTCAGAGAAAAACTGGAAGAAGATTCAAACATGGAACTGTTGCAGCTGAACTGTAATATCCATCCTCTTGATGGTACAGCCAATGAGAGCAGGACTTCTCTTAAACAACTGGAGAAACAAAAGCAGATCGTGGGACAGCTTCTCGGTCGTGGCTGCTGTGCAGATAATTTGATATATGCTCTGTCAAAAATGAGATTTAAGCAAGGAAAAGGTGACCCCCAAGGCTTCAAACCATTCCTCAAAAAAGTTGTCATTGATCTCAAACTGATTGTTCGATACGTAGGGAACGGACTCCATGTTGTGTTCCATTTAGCAGGAATATTTTTCAGCTACAGAACACAGATTGTAGATTACCTGCAGTACTTTTGCACCTGTACCAGTGGATTACACACATCGATCATCAGGGACGTCACCAACGCTTCGATCGTTGTTCACCTGCAGAGCCTGGGTCTGTTGGGGAGGATTGTAACTGGGCCATGGATGTCTCTTCTCTATGGTAACAAGGCTAGCAAAACAAACCTTGAGGTTGTTCCCTTCTTGAAGTGCGCTGTTGAAAACCTGAGCAAATTTGAAGAAGAGCCTCTTAATGTCCTCAAAGCCAAGAAGGATGTTTTTGAGAATCCATTGAAGGAGAATGATGTCCTCAGATGTCTACAACAAGTGGATGATGAATCCCAGAGTGAGCTGAAAGAGACTCTTCAAGGCAACGGTCAGGGTGCTAACCCGGCAGCTACAACCATACCTGTCAGGAGTCTTGTCCAATCCCTCCACTGCGTTGTTGGAGCAGACCAAGTCAGCCCTGTTGATAACATGTTTAGTGAAAGAGTTATCTCCATGGTTGATAGCCAGCACCACCGCGCACCAAATGCCACTATGGGATACATTGATGGGAAGGTGCATGCAAAGCAGAACAAGACCCTTGAATGGTTGAAAAAGAAGGACTGTATTGAGCAGAACCGCCTCATCCTGTTTGCTGTCAAGCGAGCAAAGCAAGTGAGGAGAATCAGAAGGGAAAGGGAAAGACTGCGTGAAAAGGAATACCAGGTCAGACTAGAGAAGAAGAAGCAAAAGAAGCAAACCAAACACCGGAACACCGTGGAGAAGAAACTGAAAGCAGCTGTAGAAAGTGGTGAACTTAAGGATGAGCTGGCCAAAGAACTGGGTTTGAGTGACGAGCAGAGAGAAGTTCTTGGTGATGTTGTGATCAATCCCAAGAGTCTGGTTGATTGTTGTATTGACCATGTCTGGTTTTCTGAAGAGGATGGATGCAATGTACTTCACCATGGTAGGGTGTTGAGAGTGTGGCAAAAGAGAAATGGCTTGAAAACAGTTTGTTTGTCATACTGGAGAGACAGTGAGGCTGAGGAGGAGTGTGAGGACCATCAGATGCCCCTCTTCAAGTTCCTGACAGACTACAGCCTGGGTGATCTTGTGTTACATTAAAAGAGAGGGGGAAGTTTTAAATCTGGGCATAAGGTGCAGTTTTAGAAACCTCTCATTCTGAGCTCCATTTTGACACCCTACACGATATAGTTTGGCACAACCTAAAATTTGCAGTTTTTCTCCAATGTGGACACCATTATTCAATATGGCCGCCACAGATTGTACATAATACTTGAAAATTATGTCATAGTGAATACTTACAGTCATAGTTGTACAGAATGCATCACAAATTGTGCATAGGTTTGTTTTCATTGAAGTAACTGTTTCTGTTAGCTTCAAGACTGCACCAATGTGACCTTTGACCTTGGAGTCATCAAGGTCACCTGGTGACCCCAAGGTCAGCAGGAAAAACGTTTACATATATTCGGTGACATCACCACTGAATTTGATTAGGATACCGTTTACCACTTAGAACTGGTGTTCATTTTAATAAACACTTCTTTTCAGTCAGAAATGTTTAATTAACACAATTATTTTTCTCTGTTGTGTAAATAAGCTTAATTAAAGTACATTAAAACTACTACTTTGAATGACAATATCTCCTGTCTTATTCATTCAATATTAACAAATGAGGTGTCCTTTTGTTGCATTTTTAGTGCTCTTTTTTTTTTTGCAAGCAGAAGGTCATTAAAACAACTTTTGAAAAATGTCCAAGGGCCTACATCTATATGTGTAAATCAGCAGATTTTTGCATGAATTCTGGCCTGAGTGTTGTTTTCAGGTCTCTCTTGTAAATGAGTCCTAGAGGCTCAGTGGGATTAAGCTGTCTAAATAAAGGTTGAATGAAAATAACTAACACCGTTTTGTTTGTTGTTTTAAATAAAGTTTTAATATTTGCTGAGAGCTACATGCTAACGGCTAACGTTAACCGTCAGCTAAGAACCATCACCGTGACGTCACCCCTTCTACGTAACACATCTACCTTCTGTCCTCACCGTGACGTCTCACAGCCCTTCAAAAGAATAAAACTATTAAAACGGATCATATTCTTACCTGTAAACACCGCGTTGCATGCCCGATTCGGTCACTTACGTCACTTCCGGGTAATGAAAGCTCTTCTTCAGGTCTTCTTCCTATTTACTGGCGGTTGTTAAACAGCTTTGAGTGTGCATTACCGCCGCCTTATGGATTTTTCATTCTTTCCACCTTCATTTCTACAGGTTAATCCCAGAGCCCTGTAAAGAGAGAGTTGCGACCATAGATATAATCACTAGATCCCTCATTGGCTGCTGCGGCGCAGGATTTTCGGCCGCCATCTTGAAACGGTCGTCCTTATTTGGTTAAAGCAGATGTCTCAGCACTTCGCAGCTTCTTTCTGTTCAGATCGACGGACTGTTGACGTCAGGTCTCGGGGGATAACTTCTCACAGTAACATGAACATATTATTGTTAGTATTTTGTGAATATAATATTACTGTACTGTATTTATGTCCACCAGCTGATGTGATGTTCAGTGTAACACGGTGTTCAGCTGCAATGAAGCTGACTGAGATCTGATGACAGGAATATTTTGCTAACAATCATACTCACTGTTTCAGCAGCTTTGGTTCATTATCAAGAGATGTGCATCAAAACTGGAGTTTTGTTTAAGTTCTAGGAAATAAAAAATAAAACTAGGGAGAATATAGGAGATAGAAAAAAGCTTGACCTCCTCTGTACAATGTTTTTGTGTAGACACAAATGTCCTGTTTTCATTTTGAAGGTTTCCCAAAGAACAAGATGTGAGGAAGAGGAGGAAGTATCTTTGAGGAGGATTCATCTGAGCAGTGAGGATTTTAAACTGGAGGATTTTGATCAAACTGGTCAGACTCTCCGACTGAGAGATGGTGTGGTACCATGGGTTCACCTTCAGAGAGTAGGAGCATCATTATAAGTTCATTAGAGTTCATAAAGTTACATATTTTATTGTGAGTCACCAGGTGAGACACCTCCATGTGTTTCTATGAACAGGTAACTAGAGACTGTAAAGTTCATCTTCATGATGCTTTTTCATTTCAGCTTGAAAACTGCAGGACTACAGGAAGTGAACAAAAGCTGCAGCTGCTCTGTCTGTGCACGCTCAGGAACGTGCACGTCACACACACAACCTCAGGAACGTGCACGACACACACACAACCTCAGGAACGTGCACGTCACACACACACAACCTCAGGAACGTGCACGACACACACAACCTCAGGAACGTGCACGTCACACCCACAACCTCAGGAACGTGCACGTCACAC